GTAGATGCTGCAGTTGTATTATCTGTTCCGTACCGGAACCCTTCTCTTCTCCCTTATGTTTCAGCACACCCCCCCGGTCCGTTGTGTGGCATTTGTTATGTAGCGGTAGTATGACCGGCTATCACCAGCTTAGACAAGCTCTGACCAGCTCAGAAAAGCTAAGACCACTGACTCGAGTGGAAAACTCGGGTCCCCACGTTAAAAACCGACCTTGTATCACAACCTGGTTCAGTGGGCGGTGAGGGTTGGCAAGTAAATCTCGGGTACACTCAGCAATGGACCAAATACAGTGTAACCCGGTTATAAGAGAGTTGTCGGGACCGGAGAAGAAGTCTCTTATATCCGGGTTTCTTTTATATCCGGGTTTGGTCTATTTTATATACATTAACACATGCTCTAATTTGGGACCAAAGAAAATCTCTCTTATATCCGGGTTTCTCTTATATCCGGGTTTCTCTTATATCCGGGTTTCTTATATCCGGGTTACACTGTACTCATTCTCCTCAACTCTGGTTAACTTCGCTTATTTACATAAACGGACGATTCCATTCGTTTATGTCTTATATGACAGGTTGCTAGCAAAAGGGACAACCCAAAGTGCGAATTGTAAATCGGGGATACCAAAATCAAAAACTGCGTAAATTTAAATATCTTGGGAGTGTTTTTCTAACAGAAAACAGAAAATGTGACACCGAAATCCGAAAGCTTATGCATCTCAGCAGTTAGGTACTAAGAGATAGAAACATTTAAGCTTGAAACAACATGGAAAAGAGTACTAAACCACAAAGCGACATCTGCCCTCCTGTATAGCAGTTCAGGTTTCTGGGGCACATAATGAGGAAGGATGGCTTGGAAAATCTGATACTCACAGGACAGAAGGAAAGAGGGACAGAGGAAAAAAAGCATAACATACAAATTAAATGGATAACGGAACATGATTTAGGAGAAATAACAAACAAAATTTATTAAAAGCTAAAAGGGACAGGAAATTGTGGAGAGCCATGATTGCCTACGTGTTGAGGGGACATGGTACATAAAAGAAGAATATATATTTTTTAATTTAAAAAAAAATGAATTTGAAACAATCGACCTTGACTGAAATAATTTCGGAAGAGACAGTTGAGGTTTCTGGGGCATATAATGAGGAAAGACAGATCTGATATACACAGGACAGATTGAAGGAAAGGTGGACAGAGGAAAACAACGCATGACATTTAGTGATCTTGCGCAAATGGATGGCGGAGAAGGACTTAGGAGAAACAACAGAAAGACAAAGTTTGTTAAGAGCTACAAAAAGAGAAGTTGTGGAGAGCCATAATCACCACGTGATAAACCGAAATGTAAATCTTCCTGTTCGTTAATCTCTTTTTTGCGCACGTGCTACGATATAAAAAAAAGCAATTTTCCTGATAAGAGTTAACAGTCTTATCGAGTGTTCCCATCAGAGAGTGGGGATTGGATAGGAGAGTTCCATCAGGGGTCAGGGGTGGGATAGGAGTGTTTCGTCAGGGGTCAGGGGTGGGATAGGAATGTTCCATCAGGGGTTTGGGTGGGGTCGGGGTCTAGGAAATAGCATGAAAATGGAATCGGTCCATGAATTTATCTGTTACGTTTTGGCTGACTGATAGGTCAAGGTAGGGGGCTCTCCTCCCCTCCCTCTGGAATGTTGATAAAAAAAAAAGACTATATATAGTTTTCCATACGTTCCTACATCAAACAAATACTTCCTCCAACACTCACACACACACACACACACACACGCACACATACACATGCATACACTTGTGTGCATGAGAAATAGCGATGGTAAACATGTGCGTCTCTCCAGACAATTTTCTCGTTTCCAAATTTTAATACTCAGATGTCTTGTAGCTGAAAACAAGTTATGCTTCTTCTTTTTTTATGCCAAGACTCCTCAGGGATAATGGCGCTCTTCATATTTTTTCATCATCATAGATTCTTGCGAAAAATAGTTCTCTGTTGCCGTTTTGAATTCAAAGCAGTCCTTCTCCTAGACTGGTTAACAATCAAGGTTAGAGAGCTCAATCTCGCCTGCTATTTAACTTATATTGGATTGGTGCAAAAATAATGTCGTTTTTTGACGTTCAACTTCAAAAGAGAAAACGACATTATTTTTGCACCAACCTAATATATAGGGATACATGCTACTTTTAGTGAATGAATAAATATACTAGCGTACAGTCCAAGAAAGTTATGCGATGTACCGACCTTTCAAGTGCGGTCGGTTTCTTGGCTTGAAAATCTGTATGATGTATCCTAGGTTGTATCTATACTTGGATATCAACTATTAAAAAAATAAGTATTTTAGCCACAAACACGCCTGGCAATTTTTTTTATATAAAAATGACGGTCAAATTCGGACAATCAAAATAAAAAAAAAAACAAACGATGGTAATTTAGTTAAAAATTCAAACTAAGTTGGTTTAAACCCGGCTGAATTGGCGTCAGTCGGAGAATCTACCCCTAAGCCGTTGGCGCACGGCAGGGATGAAGGTGAATTTAAGCGTATTTATTTTTAGATAAACACGCCAATGACTGAGAGAACTCCATTCGTTTTATCGAAGAGTATTGCATTAGTAGCAGTAGTAGCATAGGGGTACAGTGGAATATTGGACATCGCCACGGACTGAGAAATCGGAGGTCGGCGTTCGAATTCCAGTCGAGTCTGTTACATTCACTTACCTGCAAATGGCCTGTCTTCTACTCCCAGCTATAATGGACAAACTGAGTCTAAGTGAGGGACAACCCTGAATTCAAAACCTCATGAAAGTTGTTTAGAGACCTTGTGGTATGCTGTGTATCAATTCTTTGAATTCGGCTCTTCCAAAACGTGTAGTCAGTTCTACAAAAACCTTCACCGCTACAGATGTGCGTAATCATGTGTCGGGTAATCTGGCTGTTCGATTCTAAGAACTGATTTTCTGGGCCCTCATCCGTCGACAAAATGATGGAGTATATATATATATATATATATATATATATATATATATATATATATATATATAAGTGAACATAAGTCAGGTTTCATTCTATATGCAATCGTCAGGCCTGACGATTGCGTATAGCATGAAACAGACTGTCGCCTCTAAGTGTTGACTTCTATGTTCGCTTTTATATTTACACACGCTTTATCTCTGATATTGAGCACATTATCCCATAAATATTACACATCTTAAGACTATATTTCTTCATATATATATATATATATATATATATATATATATATATATATATATATATATATTAAAAGAAAAAAAAAACCGTTTATATACCCATTGGACAAATTGGAAAAACTTAAAACTTTTATCCGGATACAGACAATGCTGAAAAAGGCCTAAGGCAAACTTATCCACTCTGTGAAATGCTCGAAGCTAGATTGCCCAGACCAAGCAAAAAACTCTTAACATTAAATCCTATGAAATGATGGCTTGAACTTCAGTCGTCTTGAAAATAAAAGAATATATATATATATATATATATATATATATATATATATATATATATATATATATATAATTAAATAAATTACAAACGTTATGTCTGCTTATTTTAGCATAATGCAGTGTAACAGTGAAAATCACTTTTATTTTCCAAGCACTGTGCAAGACAATCATTCAAGACACCGTTGAAGGGGGACATAAGAAAGGACGCCAACGTAAAAACTGATTGGACAATGTCAACCAATGGACAGGTACTACTGATGGCTGCCGTTGATAGACCGTTGTGGAAAAGAGTTAGTGTGGCTTCTGCATTCGGATCCGCCATAAGATTACAAAAGTCACAGGGATGATGATGATGATGATGATGACATATATATATATATATATATATATATATAACATAATGAGAACAAGTATACATACTTATATATATATATATATATATATATATATATATATATATAATATATAAAACGAAAATAACCTAAAGGAACTTGCCTCACCTTGACAACACTTAACTCAACGCTAGAAGACCACGTGGATATAACTTAAAGAAACTTACACATACAAGCTCGGACATTCCCTTTCTGTTCACAACACATTTTTTGTATGTTTTTCCCCATTTTCTTATATTGCCATTATCATTATTATTATTAGTTTTTGTTACGTTTTTATACCGGACTATTTTCCCGTACCTCCCCATTTTCTGACAATGATTTTTCAAAAGGATTCTTTAACCCTTTTTTGTAGTATTTCTTCCCACTTTTTTCTTTTTATTTTATTTTATTTTCATTGCCTTGTATGAGTTTTTTTTTCAATTCCCCTTTTCATATCATCATCATCATCACCATCTTTATCTTTAGTATTAATTTTTACTTTTTTATTTTTTCAGTTTATTTATTTTTTTCGCACTCCTCATTGTCTAACAATGACTTTCCTGAAATAATTCTTTAACACTTTTTTATGCTATTTCTTTCCTCCTCTCTCTCTCTCTCTCTCTCTCTCTCTCTCTCTCTTCTTTTTCTCTTTCATTTTTACACACCGATCCTCATAAAACTAATGTTGGATAGTTTCCACCGCCAACTCCCCACCCACCCACTGTTTAATTCTCGCATCCGCTGGTGAAGAACACAGGCGTGTTCGAAAATTAAGAAATTTGGAACCTCAATCTCCGTGCTTCATTTTTGTAGAGTAGATAAGATATATAGAGTAGATAAGTTGGTCAATGAAACAAAGTCAAACGAAAGGGCACCGATGAAATATATATCTTCAGACGACTTAAGAATAAAAAAATATATATTCTTTTATTTTCAAGTCACCTAAAGATCGCGTGAGCGTGAATCTCAGGTTACGACTAGAGCCATATATATATATATATATATATATATATATATATATATATATATATATATATATATATTTATTCTTTTATTATTATTTAATGCATTACAATAACTTGTGTATTCCAATTTGTACTTGATTACATTTAAATTTTATTTTTTTTAAGGCGGGAACACCGGCCTTGGTAAAGCAACTGCGATGGAACTGGCCAAGAGAGGCGCTCGAGTGATTTTAGCTTGCAGAGACAGAAAGAAAGGGGAAGCCGTAGCCAGAAACATCAAAAAGAAGACGATGAACCCGAATGTCTATTCAATGCTTTTGGATCTTGCCAGTCTCCACTCTGTCAGAGAATTTGTCGAAGATTTCAACCGATCTGAACCACAACTGCACATTCTCATCAACAACGCAGGTGAGTTATGACTTTAGTTTAAATTTGTCTCCTTTTCATCACGCCATGAATTTCATCTGTCATCCATTCTTTTTTTTTTTTTCTTCGTCTGGTTTTCTTTGGGATGATCTCGATTGTTGATGTTAGTAAAGCTTCCCCTAAGAGCGATGAGGGGCTTCTGAACGAATATTTGCAAGCCCAAATAAGCGGGATATAATGTTTACCTATCCCAACTCTCATGTAAACTGGTCCGATATCTGTGTTTTGGACTTCAGTGTAAACCGGACCTATTGTACCTTTTTTAAACTACACTAGAATTTTTAAAGCATTCTGAATGTAAAAATAAAGAAAAAAGTGTGCAAGACAATAAGAAACACTACCTGCCAAAAAAAAGTGAAGTTTTATTGAAATCGGTTGAAAAATGTAGGAAATCCGATCCCATATATAAAATAACACACACACACACACAGAACCTCGGTTTTATAATAAGTATAACTCGATATGAGTTGTCCCCCTTTCATTCTCGTGATGCCTCTTAATCGTGTTTTCAAATTGATTTCGTGCAAAAGCAATTGTGTTTTTTCAATTTTTGGCGCTGTCAGAACCACCGCAAGGTAATTTTACGTAGTCCTGTGAAGTTTTGTAGAAATCGGTTGAAAAATATATATACGAACAGACACACACACAACCTGGGTTTTATAATAAGTAATTAAGGATTCTGCGAGAGTATTTTACATGAAATAATAGTGGTGAAAAGCTACATGCGCAAAATAACACGATTAAGAGGCATCGCTGTCGCGAGAATGAAAGGAGGACAACTCATATCGAGTTATACTTATTATAAAACCGAGGTTGTTTGTCAGTGTGTGTCTGCGTTCGTTTATATATGGGATTGGATTTCCTACATTTTTCAACCGATTTCAACAAAACTTCACTTTTTTTTTTTTGGCAGGTAGTTTTTTATTGTCTTGCACACTTTTTTTCTTTATTTTTACATTCAGAATGCTTTAAAAATTCCATTTACAAGACAATTGTTTATAATAAAATTCTATTCAATCGGTAGACTCATAACGATTGAAAATAATGCTTTTGTTTGAGTTTGGGTTTGACCAATTCGTAAAAAAAAAAAAAAAAAAAAAAAAACTAATTAAGACATGCGTGGCCGTCAACCTTAAACAATAATCTTTGTCAATTTTATTTTTTCAGTCTTTATGATGGTCGATACTTGATCTATCTCTTACTGTTACATCTCCGGGCAACGCCGGGCTCTACTGCTAGTACTAAATAAATGTTTTATTTGACGAAAATTGCTGAATAAAAATATGAATCAACATAAAGAAATGAAGGAATATTTAATGGCTGAAAAGTTACTGCCAGTCCAAAAATGCCTAAATATTTACCTTTTTTTTTAATGTGCAGTGATGCACATTAGAAACATGCGTTAAAGAAGAAATGTCTTTGCAAATTGATAAGTGTGTAAATAGCTGGCAACGAAAATCCGCGCTTGAACCCGTCTCCCCGAAACTTAATTAATAGGCACCAATAATGAGGTATATGATTATTTTTTGTCAGTAATTGCTGTCAGGCTAAAACAATTTTGACCATCTCGTCATGCAAGAGCGGTCCAACTATTTGACGGCTATTTCGTGTGTTGGCTATTTAGCGATTGATAACACTGGTCAACGAAAAATATTTTGAAATGGTGTTGAGATACCAACTATCACTTGTAGCCAATTTGTAGGCGCTGAACGTGAAAATGACTTTTTCTTGGTTAGCTACCGTTTTTACTGTACAGAAATGCCTCATTTTTGGGGGAAAAAGCATTTGTTATTTGTTTCCTGTATATTGACCGATGGCAATATTTTTCAAAATAAAAGAATATAAAGAAGACTGACTGAAGCAGACGAGAAATTCGCGCCAATTTAAAGAAGCAAGACCGGCATGTTGAAAATTGAGGAAGAGAGTGGATATGCAAGAAAATTAATGCGGCCCCTCTGACGGAATTAGCTGAGTTCTGTTCGACACTGAGAATGTGTTAAATGGGCAATACTTCCTCTGACCAAAAAAAGACGTTAAAGAAAATAGATCTCTTGAAGTGGCAGACGAAAAAAATATTTAAAAAGCACGCAGAGATGCCCATTAGAAACATGCGTTAAAGAAGAAATGTCTTACTTTCCAAATTGATCGGCGTGTAAATAGCTGGCAGCGTAAATCCGCGCTTGAACCCGTCTCCCCGAAACTTAATATACACCGATAATGAGATATATGATTATTTCTTTGTCAGTAATTGCTGTCATGCTAAAACAATTTTGACCATCTCGGCATGCTAGACCGGTCGGACTATTTGACGGCTATTTCGTGTGTTGGTTACTTCGATAATTAATGCGTATGGTTTCTTACGAGAATATATTACAATATATAAAATAATGGCGGTTAAAAGTACAAGCGCAAAATAACAGAGACCGATTAAAAAAAAAAAACACTGATAGCACAAATCTGAAGATCAAAAATAATGAAACTCAATCCAGCAAAGAGCAGAAACAGATTCAGAGGTGTCCTGGGTAAGACGATAAACTATATCCGACAGCAAGGCCTCTGATCAGGAGGTTTTGAGGAGCGTGGAACTACCTCTTAATTTTTGGTGCTCCCAGGCGAACCCTGACTCTGGGTGGTAGCATATGTTAGGGTCCCTGCTACGGGTAAATAGTTAACCCCCAAACTGGAGTCAAAACACTATGAAAGTGTAAAAATAGCTTTTAATACTAGCAAAACATTTTTGTAAAAATATTACTACCAATGAATTTTTTAATAAAAAAAATTATCACCAGCCAATACATTTCTGAAAAAAATTATTACTAGCCAATACATTTCTGAAAAAAAATATTACCAGCAATCTTGCCGGCATTAAATAGCCCATCGAGGTTGGTATGCCGTAAAACAAAACAAACAAACCAGATTCACTGTGACTGTTATTTTCACAATGTCAGATACTTTTTGGGTGTTGATGGTACCATGTAACCCAATAGTACGTACCGTATGGTTGGTCATCTTCGACTAAGCCGCTTCTCCCCAACAGGCTTTTCTAGTGAGGACGGAGGCTGGGCACTGTAGAATTAAAAAAAACAGACCTGTCAGGGGTGGGGGGTGAACCTTCTGGAAGTGTCAACGTATATAGTTCTCGGTTCCTTGTATCGCTCCAGAAAATACAGGACTCCTCCTGTCATGCTCCGTCTTTACAAGAGCCAGATTAGACGAAAAATGGAGTATTACTGACACATCTGTGCTGGAGTTACCCAATCCCCACTTTCCAGCCTCGACAGAGTTTAAAATTATTCGGCGCTGGGGGTGATGAATTATTTCCCACCCACAAATCCTACAGCGGCAAACAAAACTTTTCCCTCCTCTCGCAACTCTATATTGTCATCGCAAATTTTCAAACGTGCTATGTTCCTTCCATCAGTTGAGACTTTCGCGGCTAGGACCCGCCATGACACGTACACAGATTCGACTCTTCCTCCTTCCATTCGTATTCCATTGGTAAGGAGGAAGATCCACTCAGCCAGCTTCTTCCTCAGAATCTTACATTGCGAAACAGACTCCTGAAAGGATGCTTTTCCGATCACTACAATCTTAATCTCCTCAAGTCTAGGGTCAACCGTTATCTATCCTACATAACACGCACTTTTTACTCTCTCTCTCCTTGTATGCCCTTACAACAACCTCATTTTAGCAAGCTCCTACTTTGAGTGGCTCTTGAGCCTTGTGTTGGTTGAACAGTAATAAAAAAAAATAAGGAACAGGACACGAGCCCTGATTGTCTATGCCTTGGTTGATTCGTTTTTTTCCGGCTTATCAACCCTTTGCAGGAAAATATTTTTAGTTTGTAAGAATTGGTGGGGGGGGGATAATGGTTTAGTGATACAAGTCTTACTAATTAACCCATAGATCCATACATTTTCCAAGGTTATTTGCGCGTAAGTTAATATAATGAAGTGGAATTAGAATTCGGCTCTCTGATTACCAATTCCGAGCCATTATCCATCACCTACATATCCAAGATTACAGTACCTGGTCAAGCGGTCACCCATCTACATACTAAGCAGACTCGACGTTGCTTAACTTCGGTGATCGCATGATTATCGGTGTTTCAACGTGATATGGTCGATGGTTGTAAGCACATTACACCACCCAAGCTTACAGCACGTGGCATTCCCAAGCGCTCACCAATCTAGGTACTGACCTGGCTCGACGTTGCTTGATCGTCCAAAACTGGTGTTTCTACGTGATGTAGCTGTAAGCCGCTTACGTCTTCAAGGGAAATGACATGAAAAAATACATCGACGTTTCGACGATTCTCATCGTTGCTTAGTGACTTGACAACTATTTCCATTCCACCGTTCAGGTGATGTTATTTTCTTTACTAAAATGTATTTTTTTTTTTAATCATTTCACCCCAAACAAGGCGAGAATGTCACTTGTGCCCAGGAACCCACCTGGTGAAAGTGAAAGTGAAAGTGAAAGTGAAAGAGAAGACTGGGAAAAGACAAAAGATGAATGGATTCAAAAAGACAGAAGATGGCGATTGACGTTGCATTTAAATTTTTGAAGATTGTAGTTATCAAGGAAGCAAGGAATCGGAAGTTAGTTTCAGAGATGGGAAGTGCCAGAAAAGAAACTGTTGGAATAGAAGTGGCTGTTGCATTTAACTATTTCAATAGTAAAAGGACGTGAAATAGATGCTAATCTAGTAACACGCTTAAATTCACGTATTCAGGGCGCCAGGGACAGAAGTTCGTTAGAGCGGTTGCCATGAAAATATTTGTAGAAAAGACAGAGGGAAGCCACGTTACGTCGGTGATAAAGTTAATCAAGTCGAGATTTATATTTAATATTTCAATATTACAAATTTAGGCAAGATGCAAGTACTGAAAGTCAATGAAATTTGGGTAAAGTTTAGCCTATCGGATACCACAACATCACCTATAAACCTGAGCTATTTACATTTAATATTGCAGTATTATGAAATCAGGCTAGGTACAATGTATGATTAAATATTAGCCTCCCAGTTATCCCCAGACCTATATATGATACTCCTTGTTTACATTTCGTATTGCAATATTATGTAGTGAGGCAAATTCTAGTACTGCTAGTTCTTGGTGTCTGTATAAACATTGGCCTACCATACTTCGCATATAGAACATTTGCATTTACCTTTCATATTGCAGTATTATTGTTTTGATTTCATTCGTGGGTAACGACCTGACCGAAGGGAAGTCACCCTCCATTGGTGAGAAAGTGACTGAAAATCGAGATGCCAAGTCAGGATCGATTATATTATAGATCCTTTGTTGGATTTTGTCAAAAATCTTGAGTTGGAGAACCAGGCCATATATGGCAACCGTATTCAATGAACGGACGAATAGTAGATTTGTAAATGTGCAAGACGGAATCGGGTGAGAACATTTTTCTCGTACGACACTCACCCAACTTTTCTTTCAGCAGATGCAGCTGAGAGAAGAAAAAAAAACTGATAACTAAACCCCGTAAAATGCGGGTGTGTGGGACTATATTGTGCCACGCCTACTATTATATTTATGACGTATATATAAAAAAAAAAAAAAAAAACAACAACAACAACAACACTCAAAGACACATGGCACAGTGGATAAAGGCGTTGGTTAGATCCAGTGACAGGACCCAAAGTGTGTGAGTTCAATACCCGGTTAAGGCAGTGGAGAACTTTCAGAGGGAAATTAACAGGAGATAACTGACATCCATCAAACATGGCACGTGGAACTAGAACAGTCTACCCCGGTGAGCGAAATAAAGGGTTCAGTTCGACATTCCAACCACCTGAAGAAGGCCGGAGCGTACAACGGCCGAAACGTAATAAATATGGCGGCAAAGATGAGGACAATAGTCCGAATAATGTAATTAATGTATATAAAAAAAGTTCCTTTCTTGGGTTTGAAATTCTTCTGCTAGGAGCCAAGAGATCATCATAAAAAAACACTAGATTAGAATAAAAGAATTAACTTTTTTTTTATTCAGTCTTCTTGTTCGATTAACACATCTTTTTTTTTTTCTTTTTTATTTTGCAGCTTATCTCGGACCCAAAGCCACCACAGATGACCATATTGAGCGTTCATTTGGCGTGAATTATTTGGGTCATTTCCTTCTCACTAAACTGTTCGTAGAGAAACTACACAAGAACGCTCCCAGTCGCATTATCAACGTTGTCTCTGATTCGTACCAGTGGGGTAAATTAGACTTCCAAGATCTTGCTATGCATCATAACTACAGCATCTACCGTGCCTACGCCCGGAGTAAGTTGTCTCAGGCCATTCATACTGTTGAAATGCACAGAAGACTCTTCAAGGAATGTATTTGGACATTTGGTGTTCATCCTGGTACGTACAATCTGGGGGGGGTGTTTTTTGGGGGGTGTTGTTTTTTTTGGTTTTGGTTTTTTTTTTTTCTTTTTTTTGTATCAACAATTGATAATTCTGGGACAATATGTTAAGGTAATAGGGTCTGGAGAATATAACTCTCACAAGATACACCGAAGTCAAGAGAAACCTACTTGGCGAGCTTGTATGAATGGGTGACAAAAAACAAAGAAAAACAGCAGCATGGTAAATGGGTAAAAGTTACTTAAAGAATACTGGAAGTTGGTGAGGACCATAAACCTCCGTGTCCCGATAGCATGTAAAATAAGTTAGTGCTTTAATAACGAACGAGGTAGCTTTATAAATTTAATTCACATTCAGAGTGCGACTGTTTGTGCTCATTTCAGAAAGGCATGAATCCTTCTCTCCCTGCGCCCCAGACTAAATAGAGTTGTGAAATAATAATTATCAACATGGAAAAAGGAATTGGTAAAGTGAGTTCAAATTTAGGCTGAGTTTGTGTAAACTTAGAACTAATGCGAAAGGCATGAATCCATCTCTCCCTGCATTCTACATATCTACTAAAATGAGGTGTGACAGTTATCTACATGGAAAAAGGAATTTGTAAAGTGAGTTCAAATTTCGGCTGTATTTGCATATGTTCTCTTAGAACTAATGCTCATTGGAAAGGCATGATCCAATCTCTCCCTGCATTGTAGTTATGTACTAAATGGAGGTGTGATATTGTTTGACAGATTCTACATGGAAAAAGAAATGGATAAAGTTTCAAATTTTGGCTGAAACCCCTTGTAGTCCATTAGAAGTAATGTTCATTGGAAAGGCATGAATTCATCTTACCCTGCATTCTCATATATATATATATATATATATATATATAAGGTACATTGAGGTAGCAAGTATTCATCCAAACAAGTTTGATTAAAAAGAACTGCTAAGGTCTGTTTCATTTTTTATTATATTTTTCAGTTTTTCGATTAAGGTGTTGATTTTTTTACTCAGTGTTGTGGATAAACTGTCTGAAATTCATATATTTTTTTATTTTTGTTCAAGTACTTTCGACTTTCGCAGTTATTATCATAAAATAAAATAAATAAATCGCATTCATTTTGTGTAGCCTCGTTCCCAATAGCCGTTAATGCATGACGTCACGCTAGACCATTTCAAACTTCCGGCTTCTCAAGGAATACCAGAATGCAAACAAAGGAATCCTAAGTATCACACTGACACCACATCGGTCCTTGATAATGACTGCGAAAATCGAAAGTAGTTGAAAAAACAATAAGAAAATATGAATTTATCCACAACTTCGAGCGCTAGACTTAAGACATCCGAAAATTTTAATTAAACGTGCGTGTTTGGATATATATATATATATATATATATATATATATATATATATAGGAGGCGGGACGTGTGTGTGTGTGTGTGTGTGTGTGTGTGTGTGTGTGTGTGTGTGTGTGTGTGTGTAACAAATGCACGGCCGTAATTTTTGATGGATTTGCACTAAAATTTACATGCACATGCTCCAAGTTAGAGGGAAGGCCAAGACCGACATTGCATTTCCCAACTCCCATCGATAGTGGAAATAATTGATTTTTTCATTCTTCTACGGCAATTTTCATGTAGTTTGCGGCCATTTTCTACTGGCCAGAGTGAGAGCTGGCTGCCACGAATAGGCAGGAAGATTCTATTGGCCAGCGTGAGAGCCAACAGCTGACTGACACGAATGTTAACTAGCATGCTAGCATGCCAAAAAAATCAATTGCTGCATTCGTCACAAGTGGGAAACATTTAAATCTGCATGGCACTTTACTCCAATTGGCTCATTCGCTTGCTTAAACTCAACGTTGATTCTGATTCCGCAGAACTGGGTTGGGTGTGGAAAAGTATTTGTTGTTAACATTCTTTTTTCATTCGGTTTTTCCAGTTACGAGTCCTTTTTTAAAGCTGATCGTTTTGTGTTCATTTTGTTTAGTTCTTTTTTCGTAACAGATTTAATGTTTAGTATAGAGCTTAGAAAAAATTCGCAGTGTGAGATAGGCAAAGAAGTAAGGCATGTAGCAACATCAGCACGGCAAAGGGCACTCCTTTTTAAAGGCAAGGAAGGGCAAACATATTTTAAGTCAAGGATAGCGATTGCTGTATGAGTCGTACGATTTTTGAATCAAGCACAGGCAACGCCGGCCATGCTGCTAGTATATATATATATATATATATATATATATATATATATATGTGTGTGTGTGTGTGTGTGTGTGTGTGTGTAAAATTCGTAATTGGAAAAGGATAATCCAAGTAGGTTTTTTAATATATTAAAAATTAGATAAGAGACCTCAATGTATTGTATACAGAGCGATATGATATACATCAAAGGAAAAACTTAACATATCTCGAAAAATCCGGTAATAAATTTATTTCAGCAGGTAAGTTTTAATACCTCCCTCATCAGACCGAAATTACATTGTCTGATATGTTTTAATACCTGCTTCATCAGACCAAAATTACATTGAGAAGGCAGTTATTAAAACTTTACCTGCTGAAATAATATATATATATATATATATATATATATATATATATATATATAGGGATAAAATCAAATATTCGTACACATAAAATTTTCAATTTCTTTTGTATTTCCATCTAATGAATAAACATACTTTTCATATAATTAATTGTAAACAGATGCATAATAACTAAATATACATAGAAAACAGAAAAAAATAAACTGATTTAATAGAAATAAATCCCATTTATCCATTTTAATGGGTGAAAAAAGTATTCATACAATACAAAAAAGAATACAATCTTTTCAATAACAGTGGAGTTTTCCAGGGTGGGGGGGGCATGACTTTAGATTGTTCCTATTATTTTCGTTGCTTGTTGTCTGTTTAGTGACACAGATTCCTGATGAAAGCAAATCATCCTGCAACTCTTGATAAATAACCATTGAATTTTGTTTAATTTGGCGCATTAATTTTAAGAAATCTTACATGGAGCCCCTGTTCTTTCTTGGTTTTCAACAATTTTGATTTTTTTATACCTTACTATGAATGATCTAATAGTAGTAAATGGAATATTCAGGTTGTATTGGATTTTTCTGTAACTTTTACCTTCTTTCCAGAGCCTTACCATCAGTTCTTTTTGCGAATTTGTCAGTTCTTTACCTCTTGTCACGATGAAAGCCTTCTTGCATGAATATCAATTACAGAATGTTGTTTGTATGCTTGGGGCTACAAATAACTACTGATAACATTATTGGAACATTCTTGAATATTCCACTTAAATCATCTCGAGTATTAAAGCAATTTAAAGTTTTAAAGTCAGAAATTTGCGTTGTACGAATACTTTTTTCACCCATTAAAATGTATAAATGGGATTTATTTGTATTAAATCATTTTTTTGTGTTTTCCATGCATCTTTAGTTATTATGCATTTGTGTACAGTTAATTATATAAAATGTATGTTAATTAGTAGGAAATACAATAAATAAAAATTTATATGTGTACGAATATTTGTTTACCCTTACTGTATATATATATATATATATATATATATATATCCAACGTCGATAGCACGACTCGGAGTTTCATGCAAATTTCATGAGATTTTTATGAAGCTCTGAGTCGTGCCATCGACGTTGGATATTATGTATATTCACTAATATATATTTAATAGCTCTGTTTTATAACATTGAGCACTGTATTTATAACACCTGATATATATATATATATATATATATATATATATATATATATATATATATGTATGTACAAGTATATGTGCGTATATATATATTTATTTACACATACACATATATTTATATATATATGTGTGTGTGTGTGAAGATCATTTTCCAAAGTTGTTCTTTTTATTTTGTAGGTGCTTGCAACACTGAGCTTTTGCGTAACTGGCCAGGACTCACCGGTCAGCTTTTGAGAGTTATGGCCCGGATTCTGTTCAAGACCCCCGAGCAAGGTGCACAGACGATCGTCTATTGCGCCGTAGCCGAAAAAGTCCGCGAGCAAGCCGGTATGGTATTCGTCAACTGCAACGCCATCCAATTCGCCAAAAGGATTCGGGATTACCAACAAGCGAGGAAACTTTGGAATGCCAGTCTGCATTTGATCGGTTGTGACGACGAAATCGAACCTGAAGAAGTAGAAGAAGCAACCCATGAAGCTGACACTGCACTTGAATAAAAGAAAAAAAAAATGATGATCATCAACAACAGTTGATTATTACCCCAGTCTCTAAAATAAGTGTTGATAAACATATCCATAAACAATATGGTTATCTATTTGACATATTTAATAAAAAGAGGCGGATCAATAAGTCTGGAGCCTGACACGTAATTAATTGAATTTTGAACTCACATTTTCATTGCGTAATGTTTGCCATTTAGCAATAATATTTACTGTTGAATTAGGTGCATTGACAAGGAAGGCGAGTATATTTAAAAAAATAAATATTTGTTGCGCAAAATGCTTTATTTTTTCAACATTATCTCGTTCCTTGTCAACGCACTTAAGTCGACGATTCTCCATAGATCACATAGCCTGAACAATATATCAAAAATATCTGAGATGAAAATTAAGTTCAGAATTGGGTCTGGTTACTGACTTATTGAGTCCCCTTTTGCATATATACATGCATACATATATATATATATATATACATACATATATATATATATATATATATATATATATATATATATATATATATATATATATGTGTGTGTGTGTGTGTATATATATATATATGTGTGTGTGTGTGGAGGAAAATGACAAGTGGCAAAAAGTTTTCGTGTGACGCGTCTCGTCGCTTGGGCCATCATCGGACTAGAACAAGTTTCTCACGTTTCACCATTCTTCTGTTATCGCAACCTGGGATATTTAATAACAAAGGACGATGGAAACAAAAAAGAAAAAGAATCTAAATGAAATTGGCTAGATTACATACCTAAAACACATTTAGAAAAAAAAAAAAATCCTCAATTCCCAGCGTCTTTCGTTCGCGCGCATGCGCAGTTGTATCAACGTAAAACGAAACTACTCCTAAAAGACGAAACACGTCACACGAAATCTTTTTCAATCCATCTTTCTTCCAAAATTTTATACATTGTTATCCATATATATATATATATATATATATATATATATATATATATATATATATATATATGGGTGTATGTGCGTATGTGTGTGTGTGTGTATGTATAAGTGATATTATGAGTTTTAATTCTTTTACAGTTTAAGAGACAGTTTGTTTGCATTAATCGGAATCAATGTTTTTCAACCTTTTTTTAATCTCACGGCCCACTTGAACCTAGAGTTAAACTTCCGCGACACACGTCAATTAAGATGATCAAAAAAGAGCATATATTTTATGATTTATTTATTAACAGAAACAAAACAATTTATTATGATTTGTAATAAAAAGATAATAATTAAAATTCTTTAAAAAAAACTTACATTTATTTATTTTTCTGTTTATGATAATTAAACATTTAATGAGATATCTGAGGTTTATGTTGTTTTTCTTTTTAGAATATTATTTTTGCAAAGTCGAATTTTGGACAGGCATACCCTTAAATCATCTTCTAGCTGTGATCGACTTTTATTTCTAATATCTTTTATTTCAGAAAAACTTGCTTTTGTATTATTTTATAGATTATATATACGTTTATTTAATATTACAATGAAATATTCGTATAATCAATTTAAAGGGTGTTTTAATTTTCATATAAACACTTATTTTGCTTTGGACTTCTTTCGAAAATTTAAAATAATTTAATTCCACTTAAAAAATTTTGCGGCACACCTACGATCGTCTGACGGCACACCAGCCTACTGCAGAAGACCGGTTGAAAACCATTGATCTAAATTATGAAATACTATGAACAAAACCCTTCCAGAAAAATATCAATAGAATATTTGATTTATTTTATTAACTTTCTTAGCGTAAACGATTTCTTTTACGAAACATACTTCTTGTAAAATTATTTTATGCTTTTAGTCAGACGCCATCCAAAATAAATATGCATTCAAACAATAATAGCCTATTAATTTACTACTGAGATTTTTCCTAAAACTTTGTAACCAGGATCTTATATATATATATATATATATATATATATATATATATATATATATATACTTGGTCACTTTTTTGAAAAAAAGGCTTTTTAGCGCAAATTTTATTTCTTCAAGAATTATATACGAGCGATTTAAAATTAGATTAAAATTTAATTATTAGACTGATAATCCACATTTTTATTATGGATAATCTACAATTTTAATATTGGTAATCCACAATTTTAATATTGATAACTTACAATTTTAATATGGATAATCTACAATTTTAATATGGATAATTTACAATTTTAATATGGATAATACACAATTTTATTATTGATAATCCACAGTTTTAATACTGATAATTCACAATTTCGAGGCCTCCATAGAACATTGGATATTTTTTTCTTGTTAAAGTTGTTCGAATAGGTTTTCTTTCAACACTTGTCAACTAGATTATGATTGATTCTAAAGTAAGCAAATCACATTGTGTTTGAATGCATTTCAACGTTTTGGCAGACACACAATTTTACACAAAAATATTAAAGGATTTAATGTTAACGTAAACTGCGTGCATTTTAGACGATAAAATAAAGATATTTATTGCGACATTTTCTTTCTTCGAACTTGATCTGTTTTAGTCATCAAAATAACCTTTTCCTCCTATCCTTTCCATTGTCTTTAAACGTGTATATATATATATATATATATATATATATATATATATATATATATATATTCTCAACAAAATCCAAGCAAGGGTATGTAATTTTATCGGTCCTAACCTGGCATCTCGTCTTCAGTCACTTTCTTCCGTGACGTGGCTTCCCGCTGTATTTTTTTTTTTTTTTTATCTATAAATATTTTCATGGCAATTGTTCTAATGAGCTTTCCTCCTTGGTACCGCGATTATGTGAATTTAAGCCTACTACTAGATTGGCAGTTAGGTTTCATCGCCTTACTGTTGAAATAGCTAGATGTACTATTTCTAATAGTTTCTTTTCTCGCACTTCTCGCGTGTGGAACTCTCTTCTGGTTTCTTCATGCCTTTTACCTATGTGTGTGCAAATTACTCAAAGACAACATAACTAAAACATACAAAAAAAAAAAAAAAAAAAAACAGAACACGATATCAATATACTTTCGCCTCAAAATTAGACCTAGACGACCGAATAAATTTCATCGTAATGGTAAATAATAAATCTTTATAAAAGATAAATAAGTTTTTATAATCTTGTAAATAAACATTACCGGACGAGTGACTGTAGTTAAAATAATAACGGTGTCAATGGAAAAGTCCTCCTTTTGAAACACAAGTATTTTTTTTTTATTTTTTTTTTTTTTTGCGGACATGATTATCCATATTTGTTTAAACAAAGATGAGCTGTTCTGAGTGCAATCTCTTTTAGCTGCTAAGGATTTATGAACGCTTTTAGGTACGATAAAAAGAAAGACATCCAGACTAATTTGCCTGTCTGTAACTATTTTTGATCGTACCCAGAGTTCCACAAGTGTGACTATAGTTTTAAGGTGCTGCGTTTTTCAGGTTTAATTCCATTATATTTATACATTTCTTCATATTGTTTAACAAATTTGTTTTTTATCTGATGGCACTGCCATATCTATGGTAAGACATTTTTTGTAGTCTTCAATCACAACGTCTAGTCTAATAACTTTATATGTCTATAAAGATTAATTATTATTATTATTATTATTATTATTATTTTTGTGTGTTATGTTTCCTGCTTTGTATCCTGTAGAGCCAGGCCCAAACTATGGTCCTTAGACCCTATAGGAGAATTGTCATTTTATTGATAGAACTTTTCTTAGTATATGGGATGTTCCTAGTAGGGCGATCTTCTGGGCAACTTGTATGTTGATGTTACCTGGGACACTGTTAGTAAAATTGTCCATTCCTTCTCTTACGTGGCCCAGAGCTCCGATTACTATTGGTACATTATTATTATTATTATTATTATTATTATTATTATTATTATTATTACAACACTTGAGAGAAGAGTGCAATTTAAATAAAGAAAAAGTAAAGAAAAAACGATTGACAATGTTAAACAATATTTCGTCTGTCTTCTTCAAATTATATTTTAAGAAATTTTCATATATAAATGTACCAAAAATTACAAGTCTTTGTTTGGTAATAAAAAAAACGGTTCTACTTGTAATGAACGGCGCCTTGATTTGTGTGGATTGCCAGTACAGCCTTTTTTTTTTTTTTTCATTACAAGACTTTTTTTTTGTCGATTTATATATTTTTATACTTGAAAAAATTTAAAATATAACCAGAAGAAAATCCTCGAAATATTGTTTAACATTGTCAAACACTTTTTTTTTCTTTTCTTTTCTTAAGTGTTGAAAATATTTTGTTTATTATTATTATTATTATTTGAATTGTCATCAGTATCAATGATATTCCTATTTTTCTTATCTATATGATAAGAATGACTATATATTTTTGCGGTGGAGATATGCCTGTTAAAAAGAAACTGCCAAATTGTAGTTTCCACTTCTATGTAAGATTTTTTATTTTTTTTATTTTATATATATATATTTTATATATATATATTTTATATATATATATATATTATATATATATATATTTCTTTTTGAATTTGTAGGTCTGATGAATTGGATGGTATTTACGATTCCAATGGAATAAATTATGACCATGGAATATTAGTGTTTAAGCCTTTTTATTATATCCTTACTCTGTCCTGGACATTGAGTGTTACCTGGATTCTATCCTCTTGGAATTTTTTTTATTCAAAAAATATATATGTATGTGTATGCATCTATGTATATATATTTATATATTTTGCATATGTATGTGTATATTTACTACTAATATTATATATATATATATATATATATATATATTACCGAATCATTATATATGCGATGAGTGCCCCCCCCCATTCGCAAAACAATAATTTTTCAGATTGTTGTTCCTGATTGGCCTTTGTTAACCCATACTGTCTCAGCAATAAAAAAAAAAAATTCCCAGTACCTATTACCCTCCTATACAAGGGAGATAATTATCTAATGTTTTTGAATGATGATCTCTTAACAAAAAAAAGAAACAAATCAAAATACACACTACAAAAAGT